TATTCATACCTGGATTTTGAATATTTTATTTCATTGACAAAATATCTGTTTTCCTCCAGCTAGACTGGCACGTGATACAACTATAGAAAATAGTAGGGTCCTCACTGAATCCTTTTCCATAAAACATCCAAAGGTGGCTCGGGAGGATGAGATCAATGCCCTGGGTGCACCTGTGGGGCCCTGGGTGCAGGGCATGGCAGAGAACACAGAGGCCTCTGCCCTCGGCTTTCTGTTGTGGGGGCAGTGGCTTCTTTCATACTTTGTCAACAACAGTTTGACGGCCTGAAACCTACACAGTCACTTTGCTTTGTGTGTGTGTGTGTGTGTGTGTGTTTAAAGAAATTTTCTTCAGCTGTTGGAAACAGCGGACGCTGCAGATGTTAATCCCTGTTGTTAACTCCAGAGATTTCCTTTCAGTTTTAATGCTCATTTCCAAAATCTACTCAATGTTGTTACAACAGGTTTCAGAATAAGTGTTTTGTTTTGTTTTTGTCTCGGGGACTGGAGAGCGTTGCAGTACAGAGCAAACGCCGTGGGATCGGAGAACGAGGATCTGTCCCTCTGTTCTCTTCTTGGTTGTGTGAATAGCAGGCGAGCTGCATACAGAATGTAACACTGGGGTCCTGCGAACTTACGAGAAGGGCCCCCGTAACTGTCTGCTTCTGGAGGCCAGGTGCTGGGGACGAATGGGACTGAACTCATGGTCCTTTACCCGCTTCTCTGTCTCAGCACTGATTCTGCTCCTACCAACCACACCGTGTCATCCCTTTCCACCCACGAGTGCGCCAAGAGAAACGAGAGAGCAGTGGCAGCACAGAGCTGTTGGAGAAAAACCTGGCATTGAGATATGGACGAGGCAGCACAGATCAGATTTATGACCCTGTTGGGAACGTCACAGCAATGATTTAAATGGAGGCAATTGTCTCTTAGGGCCCCTGAGTTATGACTGATCTTAAAATTCTTAGAACTCATTGGAGGCTGCTGTTTCTGAAAGCTGACATAATTTAAGCACTTCATCCTGTCCTTACAGAGAGGTCAGAATAGTGCAGGCTAAATCCTGCACTAAGGTGTTCTCACAGCCCCTTGGTTTCGTGGCTTTGCACAGTTGATCAATATATGTCAGGACCTGTGGTCTCCACAGTCGGGCAGTTGGAGGTAAACTTCCTATCTGACATTTGTACCAAGGGACCGGGCCCCAACATGCCTATATGTTTGCAAGGAGGCGCCAGTGAAGCCTGGTGGTGATCAGCTTAGGAGCTGTTGGTGTTAAAATAATGCCCACATTTATTAGGAGAACAAGGTTCTCCGCTGACAGCTGCCTGACATTTTTCATTTTTCCCACCCTGCCCCTCACGGAAGGCCTGTGCCTGTGAGTCCACAGACCGCACCCCAAACACGCACACGTGGGAAAGAAGACTGGTGACAAAGCTGAGGCCTTGTAATCTGCTCCCTTCTGCATTGAAGGCAGCCGCGCTGGGCGGATGCAGCCAAGGCCAATTCAGAACCAACAGATTCTTCCTCCCCCTTTGCAAATTGCTAATGTGCTATCTAACTAGGCTGCTCTTAATGTGAACAAAAAGTGATTTTTAACAAAAAATTGTTAATTGTGAATGATACAGCCAGTGAATTTAATAAATTTGGATGAAGAAAATCTCTCTTCATGCCTTTGCAGGGTTTAGGAGAGAGAAAGTGATGAGTGTTTCAGTCTGAATCAGGAGGTCTCACTGGGGTGATTTTTTTCCCCTCCCTCTCCCTGGGGTGTTAGCAACATCTGGAGGCAGATTTTTTTTTTTTTTAAGATTTAGTTATTTATTTGAAAGGCAGAGTTACACAGAGAAAGAGAGAGGTCTTCCATCCGCTTGTTCACTCCCCAGTTGGCCACAATGGCCAGAGCTGAGCCGATCTGAAGCCAGGAACCAGGAGCAGCTTCTGGGTCTTCCATGTGTGTGTAGGGGCCCAAGGACTTGGGCCATCCTCCACTGCTTTCCCAGGCCACAGCAGAGAGCTGGATCAGAAGAGGAGCAGCCAGGACTTGAATCAGTACCCATAAGGGATGCTGGCACTGCAGGCAGTGGCTTTACCCGCTACATCACAGTGCTGGCTCCTGGAGGCAGCTTTGGTTGTCCATACTGGGGTGGGCAGGTGCCGCTGTCGTATCCGCCAGGGCGTGCCCGGGGGTGCTGCTCAGCGTTCTGCAGTGCGCAGAAGCATTCACCGTGACAAAGGATGGTCCAGTCCCAAATGTCACTAGTGTGGAAGACTGAGGGCCCTGCTGTGAACTATTTCAGTTTCTTTGCTGACCTTTTCAGTGGGTCAGCTTGTATTTGGCTCATTCTGAAGTGAAATGAGCACTTTTGGTCATACTACTTCTTTGTGTTCTGGACCTGGTTCTGGTGCCTTGAGCACGTCAGAGACAAGCTCTTGCCCTGTGTTGAAGGCCCAGATTCCTCCAGTGGACAGCAGCATCACTTGGGTGGTGTCCCCAGTGGTGACAAAGCAGGGAAGCAGGAACCAGTGTGGCGATAAGTGCATGGATGAACGAGGAGGAGAAAGGTGCTGTGGAGTGCTGCCATGCAAAGTGTGCTTCAAGAACCAGGAGCAGTGGTGGCACCCGGGAGCTCGATGGAGCTGCAGACCCCCAACTCCCATCCCCCACCCCCCGCCCTGCCACCAGGCACTGCGTCCAGATCTGCAAGTGATGCCTGTGTGCAGGGAAGGTGGAGAAGCCCAGGCGAGCATTTCTCCCTGCAGAGGGAAGACATGCCTTGCTTCAGGTCATGATTCTGGTTCTTACACACTGTGTGACCTTGGCCAAGTTGCAAAACTTCACTAGAGTTTTGGTATTTTGGCTGCAGAATGGAAGATAATATTGTCACCTGTTTCATGACATTGTTGTAGGAATTAGACAGGACTGTGTCCTGATGCATAGAAAAAAACCGACAAACTAATGATTGATAATAAGAAAAAGAAGGCAAAAACAGAGACCACTAGAAAGGTAACTTATGTTCAAACCTCATAGCTGCCATCACCAAACAATGCGTACATTCTTTTGTTGTTTAAGATTGATTGATTGATTCGAAAGGCAGAGTTAGAGAAAAAAAGAGATCTTTGATCCATTGCTTCACTCCCCAGATGGCCACAGTGGTCAAGACTGGCCAGGCCAAAGCCAGAAGCTTTGTGCAGTTCTCCCACGTAGGTGTGGGGCTCAAGTACTTGAGCCATCTTCTGCTGCCTTTTCCAGGCCATTCACAGAGAGCTGGATTGGAAGTGGGGTAGCCAGGACACAAACTAGCACCCATGTGGGATGCTGACGTCGCAAGGGGTGGCTTTTAACCAGCTATGCCACGACGCTGGCCCCAGCAGTGCACACATTCTTGCAGACTTAATTACAGTAAATGCTAAAATAAAAGCTGGAGTTTCACGAGATTTTATAGACTTTGGTCCTCGTCAGATATGCAATTTGCAGTAAGTAAATGAAACAATCTAACTACTTACTAGGAATGTCCCATTGTCCCCACCTGAGTTACACCTGCTTTATTCATTATGATTCCAAAATTGAAAGTAACATGCACTCAGGAGGAGTGAGCTGAGAGGAAGAAGACCATGCAAGATGAGCCCTTGTTTTACTAAAATGGCTTCAGAAGGGGAAAGAATTTCAAGGCCAATTCCACTTCGTGGGTAGCAGGGCTTGTCCTCTAGGCAGCTCAGGTCCCTGGTTCTCTGGGCATTGACATAAAAAATGTACAAAATCACTGCCCTCACCTCTGCGCCAGTGTTGGCCGCGTCAGCCAGGACATCCCCCAAGAATTACTCTTCGCAGATATGAATTCCTTGCAAACCGGTGGGATTATAAACAGCTGCCATGGGGACCGGCACAGTGGCGCAGTGGATTAATGCCCTGGCCTGAGGTGCCGGCATCCCATATGGGCGCCAGTTCTAGTCCCGGCTGCTCCTCTTCCAGTCCAGCTCTCTGCTATGGCCTAGGAGAGCAGTGGAGGATGGTCCAAGTGCTTGGGCCCCTGCACCCACGTGGGAGACCCAGAAGCTCCTGGCTTCGGATTGGCACAGCTCTGGCCAATGCGGCCATCTGGGGAGTGAACCAGCGGATGGAAGACCTCTCTCTTTGTCTCTACGTCTCTCTGTAACTCTGTCTTTCAAATAAATAAATCTTAAAAAATAGTTGCCATTTGAGATAAAGCAGAGCTTCAGTCATCACTGTAGTGTTCAGCAGCGTTTCAATACCGAGATAGAGAAAGAGAAATAGAAGGGGCCAAAATGGGAGACTTCAAGCTACAGAATTCAATTACAGGAGGATGCAGACTAAAATTCCTCTTAAATACAAGGACTAACAAACTGTGACTACATATAAAGCTTCTGGAAGGGGAGATTCTGAGTGTTTTTCTCCATCTTTGATTTTAATAATAACTTGTATTATATTCCTTGAAGTTTAATTATAAAAACACTTACTGTAACAAATTTAGGAAATAGAAGAACTACATGAATAATCTGGTGTCTGTTTAGCTGTTCTTCTGTTCACCTGTTTGCCCAGCCCCTGCTGGGTGCCGGGGGCTGTGGCCGTGGGTGGTGGGCACACCACTGTTGGCTAGGGGCACAGTGAGTGGTTGTAGTACCTGTGTCTGGTTGGGAGTACTGCTATACAGTGTTCTTTGGATGGATTGATACATAGCAGGCCTATATGAATTGTTGCTGTTATCAATAATACTGTTAAGTAAGTTGGAAGATAAAGAGTATCACTCCTTCAAAAATAGGTGGTTTTCAGTATTTCCTCAGCTGTCGTGACCTTTGATCCTGTTGATACGCTGTTTCACGAGTATGGCCCAGACGAATAGATTCCTGGACATTTAAAAGGTGAACTTTGTATCGGGCGATGTATTCATTCTGTGTCCGCAAATGTGCGGAACCTGCCGATTGGACGCTGCTGGGACCGAGAACCTTTTGGTGAGAACGAGGCACTCAGCAATGTCCTTTTCCCTCCCCAGATTACTCGGAGCTGGGAGACCTCCCCCCACGGTCTCCTTTAGAACCTGTTTGCGAAGATGGGCCCTTTGGCCCCGTGCCGGAGGAAAAGAAAAGGACGTCCCGCGAGCTGCGAGAGCTGTGGCGGAAGGCTATTCTGCAGCAGATCCTGCTCCTCCGGATGGAGAAGGAAAACCAGAAGCTGCAAGGTTGGTCTTGGCCCTTGTGCTGGTGGGCGGGCCTGCGACCTTGAAGGATGTGGTTCCAAAGCGGGGAATTGCGCTGGGCTGTCTCGTGTGTGTGCCGCTGTGCTGTCTGTCTGTAACACCTGTTTGCTTTTGCAAATACTATCACCAGGAGATTTAGTGATGGTTTCCTTGACTATGTTAATGATGGTTCGAGATGGTCAGTGTTAGCACGGCAGCTAGACCTGCTGGCATCCATGAGTTTCAGATTTAAGCTGTAACCCTCTGGAAAGGGGCTTTTGGTTTTCCTTTCTCTCTTCATACTTTGTCTTCTGCCAGTCTCTGCGTGTGTGTGAGGTGTGAGCTGACCCTGTGGAAGTCATTACAGTGCATACGTCACTTCCGGTGAGCTGCAGGTGACCTGAAAACATATTAGCCAAGCTCGACTGACACTGATACCAGCGATGTCCAAAAATGACACAAACATTGAAAGCCTAGATTTTTGTTCATTTCCTGTTTCCATACTGACACTTGTACTGATAGATACCTCTTTCTGAGTAGGTTACGAGGGTAAGTTTAAATACCTGTGGCAAGAGCCTGGGTCTTGGGGTGCAGAGACCTGTCCGGACGGAGAGCAGTGAAGGTTTGGAAGCTGTAGTGGGTGTCAGTCGTGCTGCCCCCGCCGCAGAGCAGTTTGGGAAGCAGAGTATGTTTGCAAAGATTTGTCTTCTAGTAATGACCTTGACGTTTGTATAGAGCTGAAAAGTCATTAAGACACTGAAATCTGATGGGCACCCCATGTCCCATGAGGTCATCTTGTCAAGGAACCTTTGTGGCTCGTCCTGGCTAATGCCGTGGTGGGCAGGTGGGTGTCCTCCGTGCTGTCTGTATGGCTCTCATGAGTTAGGGCAGCCCTGAGTGCCAGCATTAGGGTCTCTGCAGGAGAGAAAGGTATAAATTCATGAACTGCAAAGACGTAGCCAAAATAGTTAGATCATTTTCGGCCAGAAACAAGAAGTGAAATATGAGTTAATCATCCTTAATTAAAACGTCTGTAATCTGAAATTTTTTGAGGGCTGACCTGACTCTGAAAAAGTTTGAAAATTTGGAGCATTTCAAATCAGAGATGCTCAGATGATGAAGTCTATGCATAGACTCCAAAATCTGAAAACCTGTGACATCCAGAGCACTTCTGTTCTGATCATTTTAGCTAAGAGTTATCCAACCTGTGTAAACTAATACGACCTTTTTAAAATACACATTTTTTTTTTTTTTCACTTAAGAGGCCGAGAGAGAGAGAGAGAATCTCCCATCTACTGGTTCATTCTCCAAATGTCTGCCACTGCTGAGGCTGGGCCAGGCCAGAGCCAGGCACCCAGAACTCAACCTGGGTCTCTTACTTGGGTGGCAGAGACCCAATTACTTGAGCTATTGCCTGCTGCTTCCCAGAGTGCACATTAGCAGGAAGCTGGAGTAGGGAGCAGAGCAAGGACTTACCGCTGGGCCACATGCCTGTTCCTGTACCACATGCCTGTTCCTGTACCTTATCTGACATGGAGGTCGTCCAGCAGTTGGAATCGTTGTATATGGTTGTCTGAAGCTGTCCAGCGTGCAATATTGAAGCTGAGCAAGATGGACCATGCCATGAAGGGGGTAGTTTAGAGCAGATTAAATTTTCAGCATTTTCTTTTGTATTCTTGAAGATAATTGCAAAAGCAGGTATCTAACAGGTGCTTAATTGTGATGACATTTACTACGCATGCCATCAGCTAAGTGACAGCTTTGGAGCAAAGGATTTGCAGTCATGTGTCTGTTGGAGTTGTTGACAATCAGATAGACAGGTGTGTTCCCGAAGTAGGTCCTGATGCTCAGTGTATCTGCTGGCGGATATTCTTGCAAATGACAGCGTGGAAAGCCAGGGTATAGCTGTAAAGTCGCAGTGACACTGGCCGGCTTCTTGGGGTTTTGGGAAGAGTCACAGCTGATGCTGATCAGGCAAGATTGGTAAACTACAAAAGCCAAGTGCTGCTACCGTGCAAACGATGGCAGGGCAGACTGGAATGAGTAGGCGGGAGTTGCTGGGTCACCTGGAACACATTGCTGGAGTCACATTAAGTTCTCTGGCCCTTGCTAGCACCTTCCTGCTGCTTCCTCGTTTCAGCTGGCTTACTGGCTGTGTTCAGTTTCTGCAGTTCTTATTTTTACTATCTGAATTCATCTCTCTTCCTAGTTGTATATAGTTTAAGATATGGTTATCTTTGTGGGGAAAGCGCAATCAGCTTGATAAATACAACATAGAAGGAATAAGTCCACTACATTAGTGTGTATAGTGCCTATATTGCTGAGAAAAATAATCAGCAATGAAGGCCTGATTGCTTAGAAATGTGTAGTAATTTTGTAGGTAGCGATAAGTTGGGGTTGGGGGCAGAAATTTCTCATTAAACACGGAAGCAAGATTCAACAAGAACCAACCGGGGAGCGTGCCGTGCACCAGAGAGGCATGCATCCTGTTGCATTATTCTCTCATTTGCTTCTGTTTTTCAATTTTTAAAAAAAGATTTAGTTATTTATTTGGAAGTCAGAATTATGGAGAGAGAGAGAAAGGGGGGGGGGGCAGAGAGAATCTTTCATCAGCTGATTCATTCCCCCAAATGGCTGCAATTGCCAGAACTGGAGCAGGCTGAAGCAAGGAGCCAGGCGCTTCTTCCAGGTCTCCCACATGGGTGGCAAGGGCCCAGGTACTTAGACCATTTCTCACTGTTTTCACAGGCCATTAGCAGAGACCTGGATCAGAACTGAAATAGCCAGACACAAACCAATGCTCATATGGGATGCCGGTGTTGCAAGTGGTAACTTATCCGCTACACCACAGTGCTGGCCCCTCGTTTGCTTCTTAAGAGAAGATTAACTTGTAACTGGGAGTGTCACTTGAAACTGAACAAGCGTTCAAGATCATAAATTTAAAAAAATGAAAAAATCTTAAAAAAAAAAAAAAAGGCGGGAGAGCCAGCACTATTCCATATGGACACCGGTTTGAGTCCTGGCTGCTCCACTTCCAATCCAGCTCTCTGCTATGGCCTGGGAAAGCAGGAGAAGATGGCCCAGGCCCTTGGGCCACTACACCCATATGGGAGACCCAGAAGAAGCTCCTGGCTTCAGATCGGCTCAACTCCGGCCATCTGGGGAGTGAACCAGAGGATGGAAGACCTCTCTCTCTGCCTCTGCCTCTCTGTAACTCTGCCTTTCAAATAAATAAATAAATCTTAAAAAGAGTTCAAGATCACTTACAAATTCTCTGGGGATACAAGTTAGAGGAACACTCATGTGAAGATTCCTCCTCTGGTTAGGCCTGTTTCTTGACATTCAGATTTATAGATTTAATATTTATTACTGTTCTGGAAGCCATGTATCCTGGAAAGAATCAAACCATGTCATCTGTATTGTGGACACTTGAAGCTGAAGTTGTGGTTTCCTTAGTTCACAACTAATTCTCAGCGGTTTGGAGACTGCAGTGCGTTGCCTGTTTCCCAAGCCTGCAGGCCCTGCTCTGCCCCTCTGCAAGGCTCCTATTCCCATGTTTTAACTGAAGATATGAGCAGCCTGGGCAGGACAGCAAGGTGCGGCTTGGTATGATTCTGGGTTAGCATGTTGTTGCATATAACTCAGTGTTTTGTGCTTAACCCAGTTGTAAGCTGTTATGTCTCCGTAATGATGTGATGGCATTAAGTTTTGAATGGCAATTTTTTAAAAAAAGATTTATTTATTTATTTGTTTGTTTGTTTGAAAGACAGAGTTACAGAGAGAGGGAAAGCCAGAGGCAGAGAGGTCTTCCATCTGCTAGTTCGCTCCCCAAATGGCTCCATCAGCTGGGCCTGGGCCAGATGAAAGACAGGCGCCTGGAGCTTCATCAGGTCTCCCACGTGGGTGGCAGGGACCCATTGTCTGCTGCTTTCCCAGGTGCACTAGCAGGGAGCTGGATCCGAAGTTGGGCAGCTGGGACTCAAACTGGCACTCAGTGTGGAATGCCGGCATCCAGGCAGTGGCTTAACCTGCTATGCCACAACACCAGCCCCAAGGTATTCTTTTAAAAAGACTTTTCCCTAGTTAAATGATGAAAGTTTGTTGTAAAAAACTGAGTGCGGTTTTTCTAAAATCTCTGCAAGCGTGGGGGTCACATAACTGCTGAGCCCCTGGCCGCTTAGCTTTCCATGTCGGAGCTTTCAGGAGAAGCTGGCACTTGGCAAGAGTTTTGTCTGAGAACAGTTGTTACAGAGCAGAACTGGGGGAGAGCAGTGCGGGCCTTCCCTGCGTGGTGGGCATAAAGCAGGCCTGAATGTTGCAAAGTCCACCTTAGCTCCCGCGCCCACCTTAAATGGTCATGTTTTAGGCAACTCCCTGGCAAAATTATGTTTGATCTCATTCAGTGCCGTCTCCCCCGGCCCCAGAGGCTCGCAGACAGTGTGAGTCTGTGGGCTCTTGCTTCACATTTTGAAGCAGTTGGATCCTGTATCTCAAGTTCCTGCCTTGACGTGGTCTGGAGATTTGTTACAGGTCCGCACCATCTGCCTTGGCTGATACGGCTTGGGGAAGGCCGCTGATTTTAGGCAGCAGTGTTGTCAGGATTCTGAAGCAGCAGGATGCTGCCTGGGCCAACAGCAAAATACATGGATTAAGCCTTTGCAGCTGAGTCCTCCGGCCAGCTCTTTCTGGCTCTGTGAAGTGCTGCTCACTGCTGTTGCTTGCTGGGCTGTGTTCGGACAGCCAGACATGCTCACTGCAGAACTGCCTGCTAGAGGAATGTATATTGACACTGAGAGCCCGGTGCTGTTCCACAAGGCTTTCCCAAACTCAATTTGCTGTATAGGTGAGTCCTACTTTAGGGACATTAATTGTGTTTTTTCCTAGCCCCCCCCCCCAAAAAAATTAATATCAAGGTTTTTTTTTTTTTTAAATTTTATTTTAAAGTGTAAAGCCAAGAATGTAGGAAGCTGTTTAACAGGACTTCAGAAAATATATTCTTCAAAATAAAAGAGAAAAGGCTTAAAAAGATGGTAGATGAAAAGCTATGAAGTTGAAGGGAGATAGCACTTGGCCTAGGGTAATTGGCTACCTACTAACGGGTACACAATCCCAGGCAAATAGTCTCCTGCCATTGAACTTCAGTTTCTATGTCCATGAAATGAGAGGTTGGACCCGGGAGTCAATTGCAATTGTGAATTCAAAGGTTTCCTGCATCCGCCTCTCCCCACAGTGCCGCACAGCAGGTCTGAGCCTTCCTAATGGAGCGTTAGGTTGAGTGCAGTACAGGTCACCGTCTTCACATAGTTCAGGACCTATCGTATGAATGGGGTGGATTTATCCTGCTGGCTCCGGGAGGCAGAAACAGGAGCAATGGTAGAAGCTCCCTAGAGGAGACTTGGACCCATCCTTAGAGAACCTCAGCTTCTTTGGATGAAAAAGTTTACTCAAGCTCTGATCATGCCAAGCACTAGGAATTTTAACTAACACGTAGCTGAGGTGCTCATGGTTTACTAGGGCAGCCGTGAAGATGGGAAGAATGGGGCAGAGTGGGACGTATCTTAGCATACAGACAACAGGACACATTGGGCTAAAGGGGAAGAGAAATCAAGGATACCACTGAGGCTCTGGGCATCTTCCAAGACATTTCCAGGGAAAGTAGGGTGCAGTGGGAGCGGTGACATCAACGAGGACCTGCCAGGCTGCCCACGCTGCCCCGTGCCTCCGTGTAGCAGCGAATGGGCAGCCATGTTGCATCCTGGAAGACTGGCAGCTGTGGCGTTTGTTAACCTGCTCGTGGATGGTCTCTTGCAGCCTCTGAGAATGATCTGCTCACCAAGCGCCTGAAGCTTGATTATGAAGAAATCACTCCTTGTCTGAAAGAAGTAACTGCCGTGTGGGAGAAGATGCTCAGCACCCCGAGGAGAGCCAAGGTCAAGTTTGACATGGAAAAAATGCACTTGGCTGTTGGGCAAGGTGAGTTTCACCGGGAAGCTTCTGGCCAGCCTCCCCTTCATTGGTCGCTAGGGAGACGTGTGGAATAAAAAAATCATTAATCCTAATTTTAGTGGAATCTCTCCTTCATGCACATTACACATGCATTATTCTTCTCTGAGATAGTTAATGGAGCCACTATTTCTACTGTAGTCCTTTGGGTGTTTGTTTTTTAACCTTTTCTTTCTGCTGGGGGGTCTAACCACCATGCTGCACTGCCTCCAGTTGAATAGTACCCCGAGAGAGTGCTGTGCTCAGAGACCAAAAACGTGTGCAGTGATGAAGACTTCAGGTTCAGAATTGGCAGCTGCTTCCAGTGTGGCCTCTGCCAACCATCCTCACCTTTCTGAGCCCGTCCCTCCGGCTGGTAAACGGGAGCCATGGACCTCCCAGAGGATCCTGGAGCTTTCTTCCTGTTCTGATTTCCTTGCGTCAGGGAGCACTCGCAGGTTTATGCTTCTGCCAGATGGCCCCAGATTGCTCTGCTGAACGAGGAGAAGGCAGAGAAAACGAGGTGTCACCCTTTCATTTCTTCATGGCTGACCAGGTGACGGTCCTCTGTGGCTTTGCTTCAGCAAAGTGTTGACTGTGCAGCTCCGTGACAGCTATTGCAAATATCCGGGCTTCTTGGAATCCTGGCCCCTAGATATGTGTGGGTTTTGTTGTACATTTTATGAGGGGACTAATAGAATCTGTCACCCCATGTGGTGACATTGAGCATGGGCGATTGCACAGGGTATATACTGGGGTGAACCGTGCCTGAGTGGGAATTTGCTCATGCCTCCCCGGCTTTGCCAGGTCTCTGTACGGCAAGAACTCCCTGTCCCTCTAAGCTGGTTTCAACACAATGAGATTTGATGACACCAAAATGAATGACTGCCATCGTCCGTCTTGTGACTCACCATTTAAATGTGAGGATAAAACAGACCAGTGCCTTTGACCTTTCAGGTAGAGGCCCAGTCACCTCAGAGACCTTGAAACACAGGACCGACCTTGAGTATCTCTAACCTAAAGACACCTACATGACAGAAACCAAGGAATGTATCATTTCTAAGTTAAAATTAGATGGGAGTGGCAGGATTAGGGTACCCACTTGGGCAAAAGAAAAATTCTGTGGAATCTTATTTAGATAATTCAGTTTAGTTTGGGTCAAAATGATTTCCCTAAAGATATTTAGAGAGAACTTTATAAATAGAAACCTATTTTGGGGGGGATGGGATTATGACGAGGCCGCCAGAACAGCTGTTGAATGGGCCAGACGCAAACACTGTGTGCCCTCGACCCAGCATCGCGTTTATAGAAACTTGTTTTAGGTATTGAAGAATGCTTGTTGTGACGTTGTTAAACAGCCCAAAACCAAACAGCCCAGCCACATGGCCACCCTGCCGCCTGTCTGAGAGAAGTTGTTAAGTGGGAGAAAGTACAGGCAGCATGGTCTCCCGTGTAGCCGGCATTCCTGCAGCATATACGTAAGAAAGCACCAGGGTGCATTCGCGGACATCCAGGTTAGGGGCGCACTGGCCGCCCATCCTGCTCCACCTGGCATGGCCCTGGGGCAGGATTCTTGTCCTGGGAAAATAATCAGTACCCTTTCTCCTCTAAAGTTTCAAAAGCTGCCAACGTTGGATGGTAAATTACATGTTCAATCTGATTAGAGTTGGTATTGCACTTTCTTCTTTATGCCATTTGCATTTTCAAAGTGTTTTTTCTTTAGATGTGATTATATCTTATTTTTAAGTTGGAAAGCAGTGCACATGAGAGGGACAGCCTCCTGCCCTCGCAGGACCCTGCCTGCAGGCCGTGGGCAGGCTCCACTGCCGGGTCTCTCAGGTTAGGAGCAAAGGCAAAAGCGTGATGCAGATCATTCGCAGCAAACATACAGGGTCCTGTTTGCATGACCCTTTGCTTTTTCTGTTTTTTTAAAAGATTTATTTTATTTATTTCAAAGACAGAGTTACAAAGAGAGGTAGAGACAGAGAGAGAGGTCTTCCACCTGCTGGTTTACTCCCCAGATGGCTGCAACAGCTGGAGCTGCGCTGATCCAGAGCCGGGAGCCAGGAGCTTCTTCCGGGTCTCCCACGCGGGTGCAGCTGCCCAAGAACTTGGGCCATCTTCTACTGCTTTCCCAGGCCATAGCAGAGAGCTGGATCAGAAGAGGAACAGCCGGGACTAGAACCGATGCCCATATGGGATGCTGGCGCTTCAGGCCAGGGCTTTAACCCGCTGTGCCACAGCACCAGCCCCGGCCCTTTGCTTTAAGTCACAGAATCTGACCTTACTCTTGAATATCAGAATATGTGGTACTAGCCAGTAACAGAGCCAAAGTTCTTTTCCTAAACAAAAAAAAATCTGATAAGATAATAGGAATGATTTATTAATAAGAGGAAGTTGGACATATTATAACTTGGGAAAATTTTCCAGTTTGAAAAATAAAATATTTTATGAAAAAAGTCCCACTATAAATCACTTACTGTACTTACTTGTTTTTCAGCCCACATTTGCTTCTAATCAGGAGTTAAAGTATTAGAGGCTTTGGTTTGTGTGTTGTCTGCATGTGTGTGTGTGCATGTGGGTGTATCCAAGATACATCCCTGAGGTGGGAGAGTGGAGAGGGACAGAAGAAATAAAATCATACAGAAATCCTGGGGCAGTGAATAAGCTGCCTCCTGGGACACCAGCATCTCATATTAGACTGCCAGTTCGAGTGTCAGCTGCTCCGCTTCCAGCCTGCCCCCTGCTAATGCTCCTGGGAAAGCAGCAGAAGGCCTGAGATCTGAGGCCACTGCCTCCTGCATGGGAAACCGGATGGAGCTCCAGACTCCTGCCTTCAGCCTGGGCTAGCCCAGCACCAGCCATTGAGCTACCTGGGGAGTGAACCAGCTGATGGAAAGGGAGTGTGTGTGTGTGTGTGTGTGATCTATCAGTCTGTCTTTCAAATAAATAATTTTAAAAAAATCAAGATAGGGGCTGGTGCCATGACGCACTAGGTTAATCCTCCACCGGCAGCACCAGCATCCCATTTGACACTGGTTCTAGTCCTGGTTGCTCTTCTTCCAGTCCAGCTCTGTGCTGTGGCCTGGGAAAGCAGTGGAGTATGGCCCAAGCCCTAGGGCCCTTGCACCTGAGTGAGAGACCTGGAAGAAGCTCCTGGCTCCTGGCTTCGGATCAGTACAGCTCCTGCTGTTGCAGCCACTTGGAGAATGAACCAACAGAAGGAAGACCTTTCTCTCTGTCTCTCTCTCTCACACTGTCTGTAACTCTACCTGTCAAATAAATAAATAAAATCTTAAAAAAAAAAATCAAGATAGACTAGTCTCCTATTGCCACCATAACAAATTACTCCTAAACTGGTGGCCAAAGGAACAACAACTTTACTTTCACGGTTCTGGCCCAAAGTCAAGGTGTCAGCAGGGCTGCACCTGTTCCCTTCCAGTTTCTGCTGGCTGTCAGCGTTCCTTCACTCCTGTCTGAGTCACCCCGGGGTCACAGTGATGCCCTCTTGTTTTCGCCTCTGGGTGTTTTCCTGTAAGGATATTGTCACTGGCTATAGGGCCGGCCTAGATAATCCTAAATGATCATTCTATCTCAAGATCCTTACTTAATTATATCCATAAAGACCCTTTTCCCAAATGAAGTGACAGTCACAGGAATGAGGCAGTGGTCCTGTCTCTCTGGGGGCACTGCCGTGCCTGCTCACTGCCCAGGGTCGGCAGACTAATGCTGAGGTAAGCATTGAGACAGCCAGACCCCCAGTGGTGCTCCCACGGTGCATGACACAGTGCAGCCTCCAGCCCCCTCCCCAGCCCTCCATGTGGAAAGATGTCAGGATTCCAGAATCTCAGCTTAGCTTAGGCTGCTGCCTCCCACCCAACACACCCCCAGTGCAAAATGTCCAGTGGTTCCCTAGAGATACCAAATCCAGTACAGATGTCTGTTTGTTTGTTTTACTTCTATATAAAGATTTTCAGTTTTTTTTTTTTTTTTTTGACAGGCAGAGTGGACAGTGAGAGAGAGAGACAGAGAGAGAAAGGTCTTCCTTTGCCGTTGGTTCACCCTCCAATGGCCGCCGCTGCAGCCGGCGCACCGCGCTGATCCGATGGCAGGAGCCAGGATCCAGGTGCTTTTCCTGGTCTCCCATGGGGTGCAGGGCCCAAGCACCTGGGCCATCCTCCACTGCACTCCCTGGCCATAGCAGAGAGCTGGCCTGGAAGAGGGGCAACCGGGACAGAATCCGGCGCCCCAACCGGGACTAGAACCCGGTGTGCCGGCGCCGCAAGGTGGAGGATTAGCCTATTGAGCCACGGCGCCGGCTAGATTTTCAGTTTTAAAATTTAAGTTTTTAACATTTTGCCACATTCTAAAGTACAGATGTCTTGCACTGAATTCAGCCTCTCGCAAAACCCTTCTAGGGGTCAACGCTGTGGTGGAGTGGGCTAAGCCTTTACCTGCAGCGCTGGCCTCTCATTTGGGTGCCGGTTCTAGACCCGGCTGCTCCTCTTCTGATCCAGCTCTCTGCTAATGGCCTGGGAAAGCAGTGAAAGATGGCCCCTGCACCCACATGGGAGACTTGGAAGAAGCTCCTGGCCCCTGGCTTCTGATTGGCCCAGCACCAGCCATTGCAGCCATTTGGGGAGTGAACCAGCAGATGGAAGACCTCTCCCTCTACCTTTCTATAACTCTACCTCTCAAAGAAATACAATCTATTTTTTTAAAGATGTATTTATTTTAAAGGCAGAGCTACAGAGAGGCAGAGACAGTGAGGTCTTCCATCCACTGATTCGCTCCCCAAATGGCCACAATGGCCAGCGCTGTGCTTATCCAAAGCCAGGAGCAGGAACCTCCTCTGGGTCTCCCATGCAGGTGCAGGGGCCCAAGGACTTGGGCCATCTTCCACTGCTTTTCCAGGCCACAGCAAAGAGCTGGATTGGAAGTGGAGCAGCTGGGATTCAAACCAGCGCCCATGTGGGATGCTGGCACTGCTTTACCCACTACCCCCAGAATGCTGCTCCCAAGAAATACTATCTTAAAAAAAAAAATCCTTCTAACCAAATTGCTACCTGCCCCTGCCCCCAGACACCCTTGTGCCCGATAGGAGACAAAAGACGCACTTGTGATTCCAGCTGTGTGACTTGTCCTGTTGCTCCCTTCTCCCTGGTCCTTAAGGCTTGGCTCCACTGAAAGGTTCCACGAATGCCTCATTGCCCAGTAGAGATGGGCCAGCCCCTACGTCCCAGCATCCCTGGCTTGGATTCGGTCCCTTTTGTGAGGCCGCGTTTGTGTCGCGGTTTTACCTGCTTGGTCTTGCTTCCCTGGAATGCTGTTAATTGGCACCAGCTAGGGCATCAGTCTGACAGGCAGAGAGAAGACGTATTCTAGCATTGAGAGCACAAAGGGAAGGGCCGAGAGAATGGGGGACAGGATGGGAGGCAGCCAATGCGATGGGCTTTTGGTGGCTTCCCTTCCACCCTGTGCCGGTCGCTCCTAGTGGAACAACGATTCCGACCAATGGAGTGAAGTCATTTTTATTATTGTGTTGTATTCTGCACCTAAAGTCTCTCTCCGTATTTTCTGCTTCCCTGCTAAAGGTGTCCCACGTCATCACCGGGGTGAAATCTGGAAGTTTCTAGCGGAGCAGTTCCACCTTAAGCAACAGTTCCCCAGCAAACAGCAACCGAGGGATGTGCCATACAAAGAACTCCTGAAGCAGCTAACATCCCAGCAGCACGCCATCCTCATTGACCTGGGTAAGGCTGCGCCGCCAGCCACAGTGCACCCTGGGAAAACCTGCAGAGACTGTGTGAGGTGTTCAGTGGCCTGCCCTTAGGTCTGGGAACCCACAGGGGCAGCCACGGATGGCTCCTTCCAGGCGTGGAGGGGCTGCTCAGTGACACTGCGCTCACAGCTGGGGCTCCGGTCTGTAAGCCAGAGGTCACCGGCAGGCTGTGATGTGGGCTGAAGGAACGTTCTAGAAAACTCACAGGTGTCCAGAACCAAGGCTTCATTTAGTTACAGGAGCCACTCCCTCCCTACCCTTACTGCTTACAGGTAGAATTCAGTGGGAAAATTGTAGGAAGCAGTCTGTGCACGCCTTAGGCGATTTTGTTTTGGGAAGTGGGTGGCATCTTGTCTCTCTGAGCACTTTAAAAACACAAAGATGGGCCGGCGCCGCGGCTCACTAGGCTAATCCTCCACCTAGCAGCGCCGGCACACCGGGTTCTAGTCCCAGTAGGGGCGCCGGATTCTGTCCCAGTTGCCCCTCTTCCAGGCCAGCTCTCTGCTGTGGCCCGGGAGTGCAGTGGAGGATGGCCCAAGTGCTTGGGCCCTGCACCCCATGGGAGACCAGGAGAAGCACCTGGCTCCTGCCTTCAGATCAGCGCGGTGCGCCAGCCGCGGCGGCCATTGGAGGGTGAACCAACGGCAAAAGGAAGACCTTTCTCTCTGTCTCTCTCTCTCTCACTGTCCACTCTGCCTGTCAAAAAAATAAACAAACAAACAAAAAACACAAAGATGGAAACTGTTTATTGGGTATGTGCAGGTATCTCAGAAAATTTGTAGAAAATAGGATTAAAACACTATTTTGGTGGAAAAAAATTTTTGAAATACATGCATTTTTTTCATACTGCACGTTTCCATGAACTTTTTAAAGACTCCTCCGTGCATGGATCTCAATTTTTTTTTTTTTGACCGAAATAAACACCCCTTACTCTTCCCAGCACAATGCCGTCACATCCATTGACGTGGCTGCTATCATGAGTATTTGAAGCTACTGCTTAGCTTTACGTTGGGCCAGTCCGGATCAGGTCATGTGAACCACTCGCTGTAATCCGCACAGCACTGTCAGGGTGAAGCTGTCCTGTCCCTATTTGGAGTTGAGAAGGAGGAGAGCGCAGAGAGGTTAAGTGATTTGCTCAGAGCGGCACAGCCTCAGCTGTCCTTGGATACAGGGTGGGCCACAGCTGATTGTCGCCTTTGCCCCCTGTAGGCTGCAGCCTCTGTGGGCCGGGCTGGGGCTACAGCCAGGGGCAAAGGTGAATGTGAGGCGCAGTGCTGACACCCCGATGCCAAGTGGCCCTGTGTCCTCCCCAAGAAACAAGGACACTGAGGGACAGAGCAGCCTGGTCCCATGGCCAGCTGAGGGCAGGGACCGGGACCCACGCCTCCCATCGCTGCCTGCCCAGCCCAGGAGCCCCGTTTTGCCATGGGGATGACTGGCTGGTGAGGGCTGGACACCCTTGGTCGCCCTGGCGGGCCCTCTGCCCTCAGGGAGAGCAGCTTCATGAATTGGCCGCAGATGGGCCGGCTGGTGTGGTGAAGAAATGGCAGGGACAGCGTATTCCTGTCACGTGCCCCGGCGTCAGGCCGGAGACAGCTGGGCAGGGACTGACCCCCCGACCGCCCACTCTCGAATGCTTCCATTGCTCAGTTTCCCTTTGTGCCCCCCTTGCTCCCCCGGGGGCAGACTCGACCCTCAGCCTGATGGTGTTGAGGTGTAGCTGCTTCTGCAGCGGGAGAGGAGAAGGCCAGCTCGGCTCCGGGGCCTCAGTCTGGCTGAGCAACGCCACAGCATCCGCCCCAGCCCAGGGGACAGTGCGTGGTCTGTGGGCGCCTGGCACTGCCGGGGTGGCGGGGAGGGGCCTGCACTCATGCCCTCTCCCCACACCGTCCACGCCGCTTCCTTCTGCAGCCCAGAGGCTGGCCGCAGCCACCTGCCCCCGACAGCGCCGGCCCAGCTGCACCTCGCTTCTTGCCCAGTCCTCACCCAGCCTCGCACTGGGAGGCCTTCCGGCAGCTTCCTGAGGGCCAGACAGAACCTGTCTGCAAGCATTCGTGTCCCGGGTCACCCCCGTGGGGTCTCTGCGTGCTTCTCCAGCGTCAGCCCTTCCTCCCCACTCGATCGGAGCAGGCCTGAGGTGGAGGCTGGGGACCCTGCCTATGGGGCCAGGCCCGGTGAGACCCCTCCTAGAAGTTCCTCCAGCCTCACCGTTGCTCCCCACACCACTCCCCGCAGTTAGCTTGGCCGACAGAGCCGTGTGGTCCAGCGTGGAATCAGCGACGTTTCCCTTTTCCTTAACAGTGACACCCACGTCTTGGCCGGCAGAGCGAGCGCCTACCGTGGGAAGTCCTGTGGGTTTTTCACGGGTCTTTGTTTTCCTGCTTCTTGCTTCACTTTCTGGAATTGGCTTCTGGTCTAAACAGCTCGTCACAGAATTGTTTTCCTCCGAAGAGTAAGGTGGTGGTCTGTAGGTTGTCAGACGTTTGGCCGCATGTGGTCACAACCCTGCACGAAACCAGGCGGTGTCAGTAGCTCCATTTCCCAGGGATGCCTGAGGCCCAGGAGGCCCAGAGCTTTGCCTGCATGTCAGCTTCTCAGCAGTGGGATTTCCAGGCCTGCAGGTCCCCTTAGTCTCTGTGCCCTGTCCCTTCCAGTCCTGGTGGGCTCTGCCAGCTCCCAGCCCAGCGTTTGTGCTCCTGGTTGAGTGGCATGATGCACCTGCAGGGTAGGGACTGGGCAGGAGGAAGCCACTGCTCCCATGGCGTGGCAGATGATGGCGTGGCAAGTCATTCTCCCGCAGAAGCCTGTCCCAGCCCTCCGGCCTGTTTCCATCTGTGTCCACCTGCCCAGCCCTCAGGTCACTGGGACCCTTGTCCTCTCTGTTCTCTGCGTCCTGGCTGGACAACATGCACCACCAAGCATCCTGCCTTCTGGCTGGGGGGCTCCAGATCCAGTCCTGGCCACACAACAGGCTGCCCGTGACCCTGGGCAACCAGCTGAAGACCCTCGAGGCTCTACTTTGTCTTCTGCCTCCCTGGCACCCCAGCCTGGAGTCCCCACCCACAGTCAGCTGCTTCCAGCCGCCGAGGCTGTGCAGCCTCTCTCGTGATGGGTCGGTTTTACTCCCAAGAACTCCTGGGCAGCCCCAGAAACGCAGGAACTCCATTAGCCAGAAAGCAGAAACAGGAACTGCTGTGAGTCTCCCCACATCAGGTCCTTGCGGTTTTACCGATGTGTACATATGGGTCAGCGCGTGTGGGGGTGTGGTTTGTGTACTCCACGGGGTGACCAGAGTGGTGTGTGTGACGGACTTCCCCGCAGTGAGACCCCGAAGGGCACGGTCCCTGCTGCGGTGAGAATTGGGCACCGGCGCCATCTTGCTGCTTTTTTGCTTCCACTCAATGCAAATTCACCCAGGGTGCAAAACCTGCCTGCTATCTGCAAGAAAAAAACTAATCTGGGGGTAGAAAAGAGCTTTCTCCTTGCTGTTTTGGAGTACTTAATAGATGCCGCCACAGGGAGGCGCTGTGAGCATTTAAGGTGACTCGGGGTAGAAAGGCCTTCTCCAGGCTGGTGCCGTGGCTCAATAAGCTAATCCTCCACCTGTGGCGCTGGCACACCGGGTTCTAGTCCCAGTCGGGGCGCTGGATTCTGTCCCGGTTACCCCTCTTCCTGTCCAGCTCTCTGCTATGGCCAGGGAGTGCAGTGAAGGATGGCCCAAGTGCTTGGGCCCTGCACCCCATGGGAGACCAGGAGAAGCACCTGGCTCCTGGTTTAGGATTGGCGCGGTGTACCAGCCGCATCATGCCAGCCGCAGCGGCCATTGGGGGATGAACCAACGGAAAAGGAAGACCTTTCTCTCTGTCTCTCTCTCTCACTGTCCACCCTGCCTGTCAAAAAGAAAAAAGAAAGGCCTTCTCCTTTCCTGCTGGCGGTTTGCCCACCTGGCCTTGACACACGCAGCGCAGCGTCAGGCACTTCAGGTGATGGGCGCTGACGGCGAGGTGCAAGTGCAGGTGGGGGACTGCCTTTCTCTCTCATCTTGGGATTGAGGTCCTGTGAGACAAACGTCAGACCCTGGCGGCAAGAGACAGAAAGGGACCGGGAATTTGCCATGCTTGTCGTGTAAGCTGCCAGTCTGCCCACCTGAAACCTTTGCTCCGTGGTCAGTTGGATGGTTGAGGTTCAGGGGCAGCCATGCACGTTACTCCGAAGAGCCTGCCTTTGCTGTGACACAGCCGTAGTCTCCTCATGGAATCCCTCGTGTCCGGTTGTTCTAACTATTCCCTCCGGCCTCAGAGTGACAGAGCGGAAGCTGGGTGCCCAGAGCAGAGGGAATGGGGAGCGAGCCACGCCCTCTGCTGGAGGACCGCAGTCCGCCCGCGGTGCTGGTGTGCTCCTCCCGACCCGCGGAAGAGGGCGGCTTCCCGTGGTCTGAGGTCTACTGGAGCCAGGTGGAAGCCGCCAACCTGATGTCCCTGATGCCAGAGCCGGGCAGAGGTGTGCCCAGGCAGAGCCCTGAGCAGCTCCAGCGGTCCCTGGGCTCCGTCGAGGGTTTCCCAGAAGTAATCGGCCTGTGGGAGAGCTCCCTCTGCTGAACCCCCCCACCACGCCTGTCAGCAGATTCCACAGAGCATCTCAGAGCACCTGCTGTACGTTCCACGCACTGCAGGAAGCCCACACACGAGGCAACCGATGACCAAACCGTGTACAGTTCTCGGGCGTGAGATGAAGAGTGGGTTGTCTTTCCTCCTGTTTGAAATCCTGCTCATTGCTGAGCGCAGCAAGCTTAAGAAGCTAGCGTCCCAGATCCCCACCCAGGGAGGAATCTTGGAGATCACTGGGCCGTAGGCTTACTCTTCCCGCACAGCCGAGGAACCCAGGGCCCGAGAGTTGGGAGCTCAGGGCGGGTGGGTGCTGCTTGGCCACTACCACCCCAGAACGGCGCAGGCATCTCCAGGCCCTGGGGAAAGGGGGGAGAAGGAGACCTGTAAGCACCTCAGAGCCTGAACAGCTTTGCCGGGGCACGGCTGGCAGCCTGCCGTAGATGTTAGATCATGAACGAAGCCCAGATGGCAGGGGCCTCGCCCCAGATGAGGCCAGGCGGGCGCTGTGATGAGGTGGGGTTCTGGGGCCCCCTGTGGGGTCCCTCGAGGAGCTTGTAGAGAATGCGTCGGGAGGTCAGCATCCCTGGCCCGGTGCTGTCTGGGTGTGGGGACATCCTGGGATGTGCAAGTTTAACAAGTTTGACGCCCGTTTGGAAGCTGCTGGATAAATCCTCGTCTCCGCCCTCTGGAGAAGGCAGGGATCATCACCCTGGAAAGACGTCCCCTGGACGACCTGGGATTCCTTAGAAACACGTGCCTCTTGGAGCACTTCATGGCCATGAAGCTCTAACTGAGCTGGAAATGCGTCTGGACCGTGACCTCACAGGTCTTGCCAGCAGCTTCGGACGCTCAGGGCGCCATCCTCGCCCCTAGTTGAATAAGGAGAAGGCGGCTGCTTTGGGCTGGTGTTTGGCTGTCCCCACTGCTCTAGAGAGAAGGTTGAGGTTTAAAAGACCTGCGTTCTCTGCTTGGTGGGGAGCTGGCAGGCCGTGTAGTTTGATGCGTCTGTAGCAGATTGCCCCGTTTTTACCCAGTTTCCTGCTAGGTCATGAGAAATGTGGTGCTTTCCCTCAGCCGGCGTCTTCCAGAGCCAGCGTTCCTTCTCCTGGGGGCATGCAGCTTTCTGTAGCCTCTCACTGAGTCAGAGACCCGATCTAGAAGATCTAGAATCTTTGCATAGGCTGAGCAGAAACATACAGATGGCCACCAGTGTCCTGCCCGCAGCCAGCACAGGTGTTCTGGTGGCTCTGGATGGTGGCGATGTATAGTTTGTTACTCTTTGGGATTCATATCAGCTTTCAGTTTTACACATTTATGAATTCTACATTTGGGGAGAATCGGGTGCTGGGATGAGACTTTTTTTTTCCCCTGTGGGAGTATATCAGGTGTTCAGGTTCCTGTAGCACATTTGTGGTTAACAGAGTGATGGACCTGCAAGGCTGCTCCTCTGGCTTCGTTGTAAGTTATTTTGCATATCTGCCACGGAAGCCTTTTTTTCTGTCTTGGTTGCAACTCGGGTTAGAACGCGTGTGATGGATCTGAAGCCGCCGCTGGGACAGCAGACTGCTCAAGGCTGCCCCCTGCGCCAGGCATCGTGCCTGCACTGCCGCCTCTGCAGAGCGCGCCTGAGGCCCACGGAAGAAGGGAAGGCTGGGGTTAGGGAGGCCGGGAGGTCGGTTTTAATGGGGGCACGTTCCAGAGATGCTTTATGAGTCTCCAGCACCGTGGGATGCCCCTCGGAGGGTTGGTCTCTGCATGAGGGACACTGTCTGTAATTTTTTTTTATCAGTGAAATGGATGATGTTTAAGATTGTGATTGGTTAGAGAGGTGTCCAGGCCCTGTGAGTAGAGAGGGTCTCTGGAGCAGAACCCAGGGCCCGTGCCCGTGCCTCTGGAGCAGAACCTGTGTCCCCTGCTCTGTGGGGCCTCCGTGCGATGGCCTGGAACCTTTCCTGAGCCGTGCTTGGTGACGGCGTGAGGACGGGCCCTCTGATAGCACTGTGGGGCCCCCTCCTGATGCCAGCTTGCCGTTAAAGGCTCTGAGTTTGCAGAATTTGGCCTAAGGTTTCTGCAGGGGAAAGACTCCAGTGTGAGAGGGGAGGTGTCTGCTTAGTGGAAAGCATCACAGGGACAGTTTAAATTTACAATAATTAGACCAGATAGCTCCTCCTTTCCCAGTGCTGTTGAATGCCACACATCTGCCATGTCTTATGCCACCAGCACCTGTTTGGGACCCCCAGGAAGGGGGAGGGTAGATTGCAGGCAGAGGTTGGGGCATGAGCAGAAAGGCAGATGGAGGCGGCATTCCATCTGCTGGGGGACTGGGGCTGGGGAGGAAGGGTGGTGAAGGAGTGCAGAGATTCTGTACGGTTTTGAGAACCTAAGGAAAGCGATACACGTGTGCTATCCAGTATGGAAGCCACACGTGGTTGTTGAGTATCTGAAACGCAGTGGTCCAAATTACAGTGTGCCTGCTGCCAGTGTAATACATACACCAGATTTTAGAGACTCGCTATGAAAAAGAAATGCCAATGGCGCTGGCAGCCCAGGTTCTAGTCCCGGTTGGGGTGCCGGATTCTGTCCCGGCTGCTCCTCTTCCAGTCCAGCTCTCTGCTGTGGCCCGGGAAGGCAGTGGAGGATGGCCCAAGTCGCTGGGCCCTGCACCCGCATGGGAGACCAGGAGAAGCACCTGGCTCCTGCCTTCGGATCTGCGTGATGCGCCAGCCGCAGTGGCCATTGGAGGGTGAACCAACGGAAGGAAGACCTTTCTCTCTGTCTCTCTCACTGTCCACTCTGCCTATCAAAAAGAAAAGAAAAAGAAATGCCAAGTGTCTCTATATTATTTCTCTTGATTACAAGCTGAAATGTTAATTTTTTTACATAATGGGTTTAGCAAATACCTTATAATTAATTTTGCCTTTTACTTTTTTTTTTTAACTGTGGCAGCTAGAAAGTATTAAATTCCATGTCGGGCTCCCCTTCTTGTTCCATTTGCACCTGTTGCTCTAGACCAGGAGAATGCACAGGCAGGGCCATCCCTACTCCCCCCCACCACACACACACACACACTCAGTTCTGCACACAACCCAGACAAACTGAGAGAGCCAGAGCTCCCACTGCCAGTGCCTGGGTTGAGGCCTGGAGGTGAGGAAAGAGGTGGGAGGGTAGATGGGGAGGTGAGAGGACACAGCTCTGGGCTGACAGAGTGGAGAATTGGTAATTGGAGCAACAGGGAGCTCATGATAGCCGCCCAGCAGTGGGGTGATGTTTTCAGGATTCATTTGAGGAGGATTTTAGGGGTAGATGCAGTGCAGGTAGGAAGTGAATGCAAGACAAGAAAGCAGGAAAGCCACTGGGAGAATTGCCCATCCTGTTCAGTCCAGCTCGGATGAGCCCCTGTGCGTCGGTGGATGCTCCCCGGGAGCCCGAGGGACACAAGAATGTGCGCTCTTCCCTCTGCCGAGACCCTGTAGTTACAGCAAATAGTGCAAGTGGCCCGGGTGTACCTTCTGCTTTGCCTCACCTGATGGGTAGTGATTCTCACCTGGCTGCTAACCAGGCACCTTTCTGCATCCTGGAAACAACCACCCACCCCCAGTCCCACAGTCACCTGCCAGAAGCCAGGCAGGGGCTTTGACTGACAGGTGTCAGCCACGGGCACCTCCTGGACAGAGCAAGTCTTTGAGCCTTATTTGAGTGTCAGCTTTCTGTGGCCGTAATCCAAATGTCGAGAGCTTTTTATAAACCCTCTTCTGGAAGGTAAGTGGACAGTTTATTTGAAAAACAACAACAAAAACACCCAGCTGTTGCCGCTCAGTCCAACAGCCTTGCGTGCAGTGCAAACTACAGACGTGCACGTGTGGCAAGGCCTGTGGGAGCCCGGGACAGCTCAGCTGCGGAGCTTGGGCGCAGGGCGAGGACACAGCAGCCTAGGGGGTGTTTGAGATTGAAATCAGGTAAGCGGGCCCAGCAGCCGCTCTGCTCTCTGTCACCCAAGCACTGGCCCCGCAGCACCAGGCATGAGTGAGTGCAGGTGTTAGCTGTAGACATGCTGCCAGGAACAACTGGGCAGCCCCATGTGCACGGCAGAGGGGGCGTGAAGGCCGATCCGTGTTCCCATCCGGCTTCTGACGCTTCTGTTGCGTTCATCTGGGGGGTGGGGGTTTCTGGTTCAGAGGGCTTGGCTTTCCTGTTATTGTTTCCACAAATACGTGTTCTTTTCACAGGGCGAACCTTCCCAACGCACCCGTACTTCTCTGCCCAGCTCGGCGCAGGGCAGCTGTCCCTGTACAACATCCTGAAGGCCTACTCGCTGCTGGACCAGGAAGTGGGGTACTGCCAGGGTCTCAGCTTTGTGGCCGGCATCTTGCTCCTCCATATGAGTGAGGAAGAGGCGTTCAAAATGCTCAAGTTTCTGATGTACGACATGGGCCTGCGGAAGCAGTACCGGCCGGACATGATCATCTTACAGGTATGCCGCGGTGCCTACGTCCTCAATGAAAGCAGAGGCCGGAGGTGTTTGCGATCCCTCTCCAGGTGCATCCTGGGGGCTCCCCCGCCACCAGTTAGCACCATAATCACCGTCATTGCCGGGCGCTGTTCCCCACGTGGCGCGGAACGCTTGCCTCCGTGATGGCTCACGGGAAGGCGCCATTCACTGGCTCCGTTTGTGGATGGGAAAACTAAGTCGCAGGAAGCTATGTCATCAGTCTGGTCACACAGCCTACAGTGGCCGAGCTGAAACTGAAGCCAAGGCCTGTTGACTCTGGGGCCTTACCCCCGTAGCCTTGCTTTGCCTGCCACGCAGGCTGACTCCTACCTCCCAGCCTCTGCCCACCCTGGGGGTCAGCTCAGATGCCTGGGGGAAGCTCTGACCGTCCTGAGGCCCTGCCCCCCAACTCCCACCCCAGGCACCCTGTGTCGTGTTATCCTGCCTCATTTCTCTGCTGGAACAGACTCACTGCCAGGAACTACCTTTTTTGTTACTCATTCACCCCTTAGCTTTTAAGTTTTGTGAAGGAGGGAGCTTTGCTGGCCTTGGAGCCATGTGCCCAGTTTTTCTAGCACAGTCCCAGGTGGTGTGGGCAGCAAGTCAGGACAAGCATGCAGCACACAATGACACCTGACAGTGAGGACCACATCCGTGCTGGAGGTCCCCTAAGGTTACATCTCCTGGTGATGCCGTGGCCATCTCGAGTCTCTGTAAGTACATCCTGCAGTTACTCAGCCATGATAGCGCCTCACGGTGTGTTGTTCGGAGTGTATTCCCATCATCAAGTGATGAATGACCATGTTCGGTGAATGAATGAGTCTCATTAGAATACCAGACACAGCAGTGTGTTCCGTGCTGCTCCGGACGTGTCCCGGGGCAAGAGGGCTCCGGCTCCCGCTACAGCCATGTTCCTAAATGCTGCCCCGAGCCAGCGGAGCCCGCGTTTCTGTGTTCACGATCACAAACCACCAGGATTCTGGCCTTTCAGACCCTTCGCAGGGGTCCTTGGGAAGCATCCGTGCTCTGTTGGAGAGCTCCAAATCATGTGACTGAAATCCCCGCACCCCCTCCCTTGAGTAGGGACCCCACAAACAGAGGGCTCATGAAGGGAAGCCATCTCGTGCGTCCAGGACGGTGACCCGCGTAGCGTTCCCCGTCTGCATTTAACACTGACAGGATTATGGTTTCAGGCTCTATCCGGGCCTCCCTGGGACCTCCATGGGCTGTGGGAGTCATCGTGGGGCTGCTTGGAACTGGAGTGGGCTTGTCTGGGACCCATATAAGGTTGAGCGTCTCTCATCTGAACTTGAGACCAGGAATGTGCCAGATTTCAGAGTTTTCCAGATTTTAGGATGTTTGCTTCAACTCCACTGGTTGAGCATCCCCCATTCCAAAAATCGGAAATATTCCACCATCCGAAGCTTTCTGAGCCTCCCGTTAGTGCCCTGGGGTTTTCACGTGAGGGGTACCCAACCACATCTCAATGCTGTAAACCTAAGGGAACTACACTGCTCCCACCTCTCGAGTCCCGTGGGGGCCCCGTGAGCGTGGGCCATGGACTCTGGAATCCTGCCCCTTTGGCTCGCTGTCAGCTGAGGCTGGCTTCTTGTTTCTCGTGCCTCTGGCCTCGAGGTGGACTAAGAATGTGAGTTTGTAAGAGGACTTATGGGATGTTTGCACAGGACAGATGCGCACGGCCTCTCAGTCAAGGAGCACAAAGGAGCAATGAGAAGGGGGTGGCCGGAGAAGCCCCAGCACTGGTGGTGTGGGCCTGCGCCCGGCCGGGTCACTTAGGACCTGAGATCTGTGGGCTTCATGTAGCGTGTTCAGAGCTGTAACGGCTTCCCCGCCCCCGGGAGCTGCGTGTGCGTGCCGGCGGCAGGCGTGGACTGCTCAGTGCCGTGGGCGTCTGTCTCTGCAGATCCAGATGTACCAGCTCTCGCGGCTGCTGCACGACTACCACAGGGACCTCTACAACCACCTGGAGGAGCACGAGATCGGGCCCAGCCTCTACGCCGCCCCCTGGTTCCTCACCGTGTTCGCCTCTCAGTTCCCGCTGGGATTTGTCGCCAGAGTCTTCGGTGAGCCCTTGTGCCTGTGTGTGCAGAGCCCAGCTCCTGGTGGATTCGGCATCAGATGAGCCACGGTGGTTGCTTCCTGCGATGCCTCTGTTCACTGGCGGGCCCATGCCTCGTGCCAGAACGGGGGACCACCGATATTGGGTTCAGCCAGGGCTGGGTTTTGTGACTTCCAGCTGCTGCTGAACTTCTAACAGTGGAAGGGCTTCCTTGGGTGCCCTCCTCTTGTGGGGTTTAGATCAGGTGCCCCCACGACAAGGCCACCCCCAGAGCAGACGTCAGAAGTTGGCCAAGGAACCCCACGGGCGTTTTCCTCGTGAGTCCCGTTGCCCACACTCTGGCCTTGACGCTCGCTGTGTGACTGACTGCTCCCTCAGCTCTGGCCATGCCTTCCTGCTCCCTCAGCTCTGGCCACGCCTTCCCGGCCCTTGGTTGTTCACACCACTACCCCGTGAGCGCAGGTTGTTGGTGGGTAAAACCATCCTGTTTTGTTGGTTTGCTTTTTGAGAACATTGTCAACGTTAAGTCGCTGTTCGCGTGCAATGTCTCAAACTGCCCTGCAGGAGCAGGAATAGGGCTGTGTTCCTGCTGCAGGAACCTAACAAGATACTGTGTGCAGAATTCATTCTCATACAGCTTCTCCCTGCTTCAGAATGAAAGTGACGGGGCAGTGTGGGGCACAGCAGGTTAAGCGGCTCCTTGCACAGCCAGCATCCGGTAATAGTGCCGGTTTGAGTCTGGCTGCTCTGCTGCTGCTGTTTTTTGGTTTTTTTTTTTGTTGTTGTTGTTGTTGTTGTTGTTTTTTAATTTATTTGAAAGGCAGAATGACAGAGAGAAGGAGAAACGGGCAGAGATTTGCCATTCACTGGTTCATTTCTCAAATGGTAGCAATAGTCTGGGGTAAGCCAGCCTGAAGCCAGGAGCCAGGAATTCTATCCGAGTCTCCCTCATGAATAGCATGGATACAAGTACTTGGGTCATCCTCTGCTGCTTTCCCAGGCACATTAGCAGGAGACCGGATCAGAAGCAGAGCAGCTAGAATTCGAACTGATGCTCGATATAGGCAGTGGGTTCACCTGCTGCACCACCATGCCTGCTAGATCTTTATTATTATCATTCACTTGTATCACAAGAGCCTTGAAAGAATTTCCCATTTGTCTTTATTGGAAGAATCTGTGTTTATAATATTCACTGCTCCCTTTTACATAACCATCTCCTCAAATGGAGTCTTATTTTGTACCCATGTGAAAAAAGTCATTAAAATAAAAAAATAAGAACTATTTCTAAGGGAGAGAATTGGGCATGGCAGTTAAGGCACCACTTGAGACACTCTACATCCCATATAATAATGTCTGGGTTTGACTCCTGGCTTGCTTTTGGTTCCAGTGTCCTTCTAATGTGTACCCTGGGAGGCAGCAGGTGATGGCTCAAGTACTTGGATCCCTGCCATCCATGTGGGAGACCCACATTGAGTTCTAGGTGCTTGGCTTGGGCCTGGCCCAGCCCCTGCTCTTGTAGGCATTTGGAGAGTAAATCAGCAGATGGGAGCTCACTCTCTGTCTCTCTGCCTTTCAAGAAAAATAAATAAATATTTAAAAAGCAAAAATAAGAACTGTCTCCTAGTTAGGCAAATTATTGGTGAGCTCTCATGAAGATTTACACCATAGTTTTCAAAAGAGAGAAATAAGTAAAAGCCTCAAATTGTGTGCCCCCTTTACCAACAGAAAACTATAAGACCTTGAGCCACAAGCATTAATCTTTCTTGCCAACAAATTTTTTATTTTTTTTTTTTTTACCATGGAACGAAAGTCATTTGCCCATCTTACTTGCATTTTTCCTAATTCCTTAACTCTGTGATGCAGGGAGTAGAGGGTGCGGGATGAAATTGAAGGCTAGGGAGGCAGTGCCATTGGTTAGCGGTTTTGCTGACTGCTTGGGCTGCCAGCTAAGGGTTTGGGAAGAAAATCCTACGAAGCCACCCATGTCGTCACTGCCCTGGGCCACCAAAGCTGCTATCTGCAGAGTTCAGGGGTGGTTCTTTGTTCTTGGCTGCATGGGTGGTTAAAAGGCATTTAAAAAAAAAAAAAAAAAGGCAAACTTTCTCTGGAAATGACAGCCCTTCTGTTTAAAGATTTATTTTTTTGAAAGGCAGAGAGTGACAGGGAGAGACAGAGAGACAGAGAGAGATCTGCTGGTTTGCTTCCCAAATGCCCACATCAGTCAGGACTGGGCCAGGCCAAAGCCAGGAGCCAGGAACTCCATCCAGGCTAGGGCCTGAGTTCTTGACCCATCACCTGTTGCCTCCCAGACCCCTTAGCAGGAAGGTGGATCATAAGTGGAGCAGCAGGGACTCGAAACAGCCCTATGATATGGAACTCGGGTGGGCATCCCAAGCAGCAACTTTACCCCTGGGCACCACGGGGCCTGCCTGGCTGAATAAGTGGGAGTACCATGGAGTTCATTCTGATGACTGCGTTAGTAAGTGCTAATGCCACCAGAAATAGGGTCTTTGCTCCGTATGATGCAGGCAGTGGTGGGTCTTGGAGTTTTGTATACGTTGTGCATGAAGATCCGTCGTCTGCGGAATTCTTGGATCCCACAGCTATGTCCGGTGGGTTCCTGTCTGGCTGGCCAGGGTCCCCAGGATTATAGGCAGGAAGTGGGATCTCAGGGCAACACTGGGCGTCACCTTGCACAAACCGCTGGTTGTTTTTGTGCCATCTGCCTTACCCTTCAGTACTTACAAACAAGCCTAGTGGTTCCGCAGAAAAGGCAGGTTTTTAAAAGCCATTTCTATATTTAGCACTGGTGACTGCAAGACCCGTGTTTGTTTAGCTCCATGATGGTAGATGCCTTGTTTTAAATTCTGAAGTCTGCCATTCAGACACCATAGTCGTCTTCGCCTTACTTTACCATAAGCCTTGAAGCCTGGATAAGCACTAAAAACAACTGGACCTTTGTTGACTAATCACAGTATCAGTACAAGATTCTCAGCTGGCCTCAGCATAGCTCATATATCAGTTGACAGGTTACCTGGAATTGAGAATACACTGGGGGCCGGGGGGGAAGTAGTCACAGTGATGCGTGTGCCTGGACGTGGTAATCTTGCTTTGCTGCACACCTGTCAGTTCTCTCTGCGTCACATAAGGAGAAATCGTCCCCTCCTGTGTTTCTCTAGCTGGGTACAGCAGGGTCCTGGGAGGGGTGCTTTCTCCCTCTCATCACATCTGTCTTTGGGGGGAAAATACTTGAAAAAATAGCACCTGGCTTGCCGCTGGTGGAGGAGGCAGTGGCTGTGGTGTTGAGCTTCGGCTGTTTAGCTATAGGACGTGCTGCCAGACGATGAACGAGGAGGCTGAACATGGAAACCAAGGCTTTGGCAAACAGCACAGAAGCTGCCTGTTACACAGTGGAGACCTCGGAGAAGCTTCAGGATGAAAATAGCCCGGCCAAACAGGATTGTTTATATGGTCAGGAATATGTCCCGGCTGCTCGGGTACCGAGATGCACTGGTCACGAGGGCAGTGTTTGCAGCATCTGGTGGTGTGGTTGTCTCCGCCTTCAGTGTACTCCGACCTGTTCCTCCTGGGGCTTGGGGGTGCCATGGCTGAAGGGTTGCAGCCTCCCAGGAGAGAGTGAAGGAGAGGGATCGCCCTGGTACAGGCAGCGGTGCAGTGTGAGAGGCCTCTTGGATCACAGACAGCCTCAGATGAAGTTCCCAGGCCCCGGCGCGGAGCAGGGCTGCTGAGACGGCAGTTGTCTGCCTTGTCGGGCAGAGTCAGGTGCAAAGCGGAGGAGTCCGCTGTACTTCCTGCCTGATAAAACTGCTTGAAAAAAAAAGGAGAGAAGACAGGCCAGAGGGAGAAAGCAAGCCCCCTCCGTCAAGAGGAAGTGGGCTGCGGCGCCTCGGGGCCAACCTCAGCTGTTCACTTTCGCACCCTGCCTCTGGAAGGCAGGGCACGGCTTGCTTTCCCCGGAAGGGTGGTTTCTAAAATTCCAGAACGCAAATGCTTGAGGGTGGGAAGGCAAGGTCAGGGCAGTGTGGTGAGAGTCTCTGACGGAGGCTTCCTGGGCCTCGCCGGGGCAGTGGAGAGGAGTGGAGCAGAGCTGTTGGCTGCTGGCTGGGGCAGGTGGCCTCCGGAGCGCTGCCCTTTCTCTCTCGGCTGACCGGCCCGTGCAGGGGTCACACCGCCCAGCCTGGATCTTATTAGCATGAGCTCCTTACCAGTGAGCTGAGTTGCTTAGAACCAAGGCAAGAAAACCTTCCATGCTCCCGCTGTGCTCTGGCTGCAGTCGGCGGTCAGCTCTCTGGCCCCGCCTCCTCACTGGTTGCCCCCACACCTGGCCCATGGGACCTGAGCTTGCCTTTGACCAGGCCTCTCTGTGTCTGCTCCCTCTCCCATCTGCTCCTAATACCACTTCCTAGTTTCCTACCCGGAGAGATTCTTTGGGTTCTTCTAATCCTCTTCCCTTGCATGCTTTCTTTCTTTCTTTCTTTTTTAAAGATGTATTTATTTATTTGAAAGGCAGAGTTACAGAGATAAAGAGATCTTCCACTCACTAGTTCATTCCCCAAATGGCTGCAATGGCCTGGAGTTGAGCCATGCTGAAGCCAGGAGCCAGGATCCTCATCCCAGTCTCCATTATGGATGCAGGGGCCCAAGTACTTGGGGCCTTCCCCAGCTGCTTTTCTTTCCCAGGCCATTAGAAGGGAGCTGGATTGGAAGTGGAGCAGACGAGACACAAACCAGTACTCATATGGGATGTCGGTGCTGCGAGCGGCAGCCCCACCCACTACACCATAAGGCCCCTGGGTGTTTTCCTGCCTCTCAGAATACCCTGGGCATAAGTGCACCAAATCCCTGCTTGCTGGTGTCTCTGGAGTTGCCCCTGTGTGCCTTCTCTTCGGCTTAATCCCCAGGGCCTAATACAGCACCTGGCATGTTTCAGTGCTCAGCGAATGCTTGAAGATAGAACCATCTCAGGAGATGAGAAGAGTGCTCTTAAGGTGTCGTGAACAGCATTAGGAAAGAGCACTTCATATTTTTTCTCATTAAAAGCAGAGCTCCCCCCACCCCCCCCAAAAAAATAGTCACATCTGGGGTTAAATATCTTTGTCTTATTTTTAAATTTTTGTTTATCTGAAAGTCAGAGAGACAGAGACACAGACTGGGAGAGATCATCCACCTGCTGGTTCACCTCCCAAAAGCCTGTGAGTGCCAGGGCGGGGCCAGGCCACAGCCAGGAGCTTGGAACTCAATGGAATCTCCCACATGGGTGGCAGGGACCCAAGTACTTGAGCCTCACCTGCTGCCTCCCAGGCTGCACATTCAGAGGAAACGGAGCTGGAACTCTAACCCGGGCACTCTGACCTTCATCCCACGCAGTGTCTTAACCACTGGGCTGACCTCTGCCCTGTGGGTGGTTATTTTTTTTTTTATCATACCAATAAAGAGCCTTACAAAATACAAACAGCTCCAAATTTCCTTTCATTTTCTTCATAGGAAGTCCTCCATCTGGTTGTCAAAACCAAAACCCTTAAAGGGATAAAAGTCAGAAAGCCCAGTTGTTAACCTCGAGAGAGCGCTGATGTGGCCTAGTCTACTCATACAGGTTCCCCAGAGTGATGTCAGTCAGCTTAGATGTGGTGCTGTATCTGATCGTGCCGGGCTTGTCCCTCAGAGCCGAAAGGTACCCAGCTCAGAAAACATTGCCGTGGTGGCAGATTCCTCTCCTCGGGGTCCCTACTTACAAAGAAATGACAGATCTGGGCCGGCGCCGCGGCTCACTAGGCTAATCCTCCGCCTGCGGCGCCGGCACACCAGGTTCTAGTCCTGGTCGGGGCGCCGGATTCTGTCCCGCAGCGCGCCGGCCGTGGTGGCCCTTGGGGGGTGAACCAACGGAAAAAGGAAGACCTTTCTGTCTCTCTCTCACTGTCCACTCTGCCTGTCCAAAAAAAAAAAAAATCTGGATTTTTATTCTGAAAGGTGTCATGTATTTTCTGTTCAGCTATCAACTCTTAGCTGGAAATGAAGCCTTCTAAACCACTGAAACTTGCAGTTTATCCTTCTGTTTGGGGGGTGTCGTTTCTGTTTAAAAATACATCTTACTTGGAATGTTCTATTTTAGAGCCTTTTATTTTCTGTAGTGGTGCATTTTCCATGGGCAGGCTGGGTATTTTGTAGAGCAGGCATCTCACAGGAAGACACGTCCTTGGCACTGCCCTTGAAGCATGTCCACGCTTCAACCAGTCCTCTAATTTACCTTCCCCTCCTCACCCCTCAAAAGGAAGCCAGGCAGGCCCGCTTTCCCTATTTGCTGGGGGCCCCCTGAACTGCCAGCAGCTGTGGCGTTTGTGGAAAGAGTGTGAGCCTTGAGCTGTGTGAGTTACAGGCTGGGCCTAACCCCATACCCACCCAGCGCATTCCAGGCAGCACCAACACAGCAAAGTGGGTGAGGGTCACAGCTGTGCCGGGGCTCACCTGGCCAGCAGGTGCCTCGGTCTGCCATCGTTTCTCCTCCACGCACCTTGCAGAACCCACACTGACTGCCGCCCGGCGGCATCCAGCCTCTGCTGTCAGCTTTCTGTCCTGCTGGGGAGTCCTCCTGCTTGCCTGTTTTGTCTTCCTTGATCTGAAGACATTTGCAACTTAACTCTGTCCCTCCCATCATCAGCGTGCAGTGGAGAGAGAGATGTCCACAGTTGCTTCTAATAGTCTCTGTGCTCTCATCTTTAGGTTTGCATTGGTTTCGTGCAATGTTTCAGCGACTGGGTATCTTGCCTGGATTCAGTCACCTAGTAATTCGTTGTGATGGCTGCATTTTACGCCCACAACCTTTCGCTGTCTTTTTCCAGTGGCTTCAACTTCTTGAAGAGCAGGGAGGCAGGGCGGGGCTTGCTGCTCCGCCTGTCGCCTTCTCTCCCTCCCAGTGCAGGATATGAAACCAGCACAGGGATCACTCACATTTGCCAGCCGCTCTAAGAAAAAAGAAAAAAATAAATAAAAAATACGGCAAGAACTAGAAAGTACCTTGACTGAGTTTTTGATCTCATCGGAGGCTAAAACATTTTTAACTCCATCATTACGTGAAAATCCAGTTGGCTTGTATTTGATAATATACTTTTTTTTTTTTTTTTGACAGGCAGAGTGGACAGTGAGAGAGAGGCAAAGAGAAAGGTCTTCCTTTTTCCATTGGTTCACCCTCCAATGGCCACTGTGGTGGCGCTCTGAAGCCAGGAGCCAGGTGCTTCCTCCTGGTCTCCCATGCAGGTGCAGGGCCCAAGTACCAAGTACCAAGTACCCAGGCCCACTGCCTTCCTGGGCCACAGCAGAGAGCTGGACTGGAAGAGGAGCAACCGGGACAGAATCCGGCACCCTGACCGGGACTAGAACCCGGTGTGTCGGCACCACAGGTGGAGGATTAGTCTAGTGAGCCATGGCGCCGGCCCAATAATGTACTTTTGCAATTGGTGTAGACAGTTTGCAGTTTTTAGAGATGTTTAAACTTCCTTTTTTGAGAACAGAGGCACTTTTTCCACTTAACTCTGTCTTAATTTCTAATGCTATAACTACAAAGATCTATGAAACACGTTTCAGTAACCCCTTTAAAATCCAGAACATTCCTGGAAACATTTACCACAGAAACTTTTTCTCCACTTAATTCTGTTCATGTTTGAATTTATTTCCAGAGAGGAAAAAATTCATCTGAACCTGTGACAGAGATCGAAGCAGCAGTTGTGTTTATCTGTTATTTTTATTATTTGCGATATTGTCTTGACAACGCTATCTGAGCGATCAGACTCTTAAAAAGGAAATAAAGTTTTCGGCTTGGGGTTGGTTCCCGTCCTCCCGCTCTGTGATGTGTGGAAAGGAAAACAGTGGCAATTCACCAGAAGCTGGTGGGGCTTAACTTTGTGCATTTCTGTGTTTTCCCAGACATGATCTTTCTTCAGGGATCAGAGGTCATATTTAAAGTGGCTCTGAGTCTGTTGGGAAGCCACAAGCCCTTGATTCTGCAGCACGAAAACCTAGAAACCATAGTCGACTTTATCAAAAGCACACTGCCCAACCTGGGCTTGGTACAGATGGAGAAGACCATCAACCAGGTACGCTTCCGTCCAGGTGCCCCCCCTCCCTGCGCGCTCTCGGGACCCTTGGTAGGCAGAAGCTCAGGTTTGTTTTGAGCACGAGCTCTTTCCTGCCATTGCGTCTCTGAACAGCGCCGTGCACAGAGCAGACACATCCCCGGTGTGCGTGTGAGGGCCGTGGGGAAACAGTGCCCGTGGCCAGTCGCTCAGCTGCAGCGCTGGTAGTTCTCCTGAGAGCCACGCATTTGTAACAACGTAGGCTCCCATGAAATGGGTGATTTGATTTTTTTGAAAGATTTATTTATTTATTTATTTGAAAGGCAGAGTTACAGAGAGGCAAAGGCAGAGGGAGAGAGAGAGAGAGAGAGAGAGAGAGAGAGAGAGAGAGAGATCTTCATCCACTGGTTCACTATGCATTGGCCGCAATGACTGGAGCTGCACTGATCCGAAGCCAGGAGCCAGGAGCTTCTTCCCAGTCTCCCATGTGGGTGCAGGGGCCCAAGGACTTGGGCCATCTTCTGCTGCTTTCCCAGGCCATAGCAGAGAGCTGGATCGGAAATGGAGCAACTCGAACTGGCAACCAAATGGCATGCGGACATTGCAGGCGGCAGCTTTACCCGCTATGCCCCAGCGCCAGCCCTGGTGCTTGGATTTTTGCTGATGAATGGCATTAAATTTCTAAAAATAAGTCCTTGCTGCAGAGTTGTGGTAGGGAGCATGTATCGGTGAAGTGGGTCCAGGATGTGCATTTTTCCGGGATTCAGTTCCTGGGTTGCAGCACCTCTGATCTCTGTGCACGGTGGAGCCCTCCCTCTCTGCAGTGGGCATTGGAGGTGTGTTTAGAAGACCAGGTGGTGAACCGGCTGGGCCGGGAACGAGAGCAGATTTTGATTCTGCGAAAGGAAGAGTCTCCCAGTATGATTGCTGCTGCTGCTGACAGTGAGCGGAGGGGAAGGTGGCCCCTGGAGGGACCACTGGAGCTTGTGGGAAGGCACTGGGAGGGATTTCGTCATTGGTGGCTGCGGAGTCGGCAGGCAGGCCTTTGAGCAGCCTAGAACCTGCTTCAAGTAGGATGCAAGCGGAGCAATCCGGTAAAACCGAACAGTGAGATCAAGCTGTTCTTTTCAGAATCCTCCTCCGGGGGTTTCTGAGGTCCCAAGGGGAATGCAGTGGTTGCAGTGGGTGCACCCGATGCATGTCGCTGATTTTCACCTGCAGCTGCATCTCGGGGGTTCGGCAGTTTTCTGGCACACCGCATCAGCCAGGACGAGAGGGGCTCTGTTCTGTGCTGCACAGATCTTTCGTTAGCCGGCAGGCTCCGTGTCTCTTCGTATTTGACTTCCCTGTTGCATTCCTCTCACTGTGGTTTGTCGAGCCCTTCCTCTTTGCCAGGTTCCATGGCAACCTGCTTACGCACGGGACCTCATTCAGTCACAGGCCGCATTCCCGCAAGGATGTATTGCGGTTAATGAGCCGCACTCCCCGCCCTGCCCCGTGCTGCACAGTGGACTTTGAGACGCAGCTCACCGCAAACTGCTGCTCACCACCACCAGGTGTCTCTGGGGTCCTATAATTGTGCTGCTTTTCCATATCTTATCTGCAGCCTAATACTCACTCTCTGCCCTTTCGATTCTTTAATTTCCGGCTCTTACATTCATTTGTTCCCCTTTTAGGGCTTGCATGCCACGTACTTATTCTCACAGCTGCTGGGGCTGACCCAGAGAGCCTGGGTTCCCCCGGCCGAGGCAGCGTGCAGTGCATGCCGGCTGCCTGCCCCCTCCTGGCTCCAGGACAAGGTCACTTTGCCCCCTGGGACTGAGCCCTGCAGGAAAAATGCCCATTCCTCCCCTTCTCTGTAGAGAACAAGTACTTACTGAGAGAACCCGGTGTGCCTGGTATGCCCCAGGTGCTCTGGAGGTGTTGGGAGAGTGGAAATGAACACAGCATGGGAACAGACAGTTGTGTGTATGTGCACCTGATTTGGTTCAGGCACCTGTCCTGAGCCCAGCCTTCCTCCCACCATGGACTCCTTCACAGCCCTGGACGTGGTATTGCAGTCCCCATTTTTATGACACTGATCAGAGGTTCTCCGTGGGAGGCCACGTGCTGTCTCTGCGCGCCGTGGGCCATGGGGTCTGTGTGGCAGTGACTGCACTGGGCCCTCGCCATGCAGAGGGGCCTACAGGGATGACTGAAGGGGTCGTGCTGCAGTAAACAAGCATTTACTGTGTCTGGCACCATAGGGTGGCATCAGCAGCATTGTACACTGCTGATTCCCACCCAGCAAGTAGCTTGGCAGTGTGTGTCACAGGCTAGTTAAGTACCCAAACCCTTTGACCCAGTAAGCCCACTTCTGGGACAGAATCCTTAGGAAGTAATCCAGATATGGGGAAAGTCTCTTGTTAGGGTTATTGATGATAACAACAAAGGCTCGGAATGAGTGGTCACCCAGCACCAAAGCAGGCTCTGAGCCACTGTGGTGGCGAGTTGGTGGAATCCCATGGGCTGTTTACTGTTGTGGGCATGAAGCTGAGACAGCAGCTTGGAAAAGCCTTTATGACATGATGCTAAGTGGAAAAAAGTGGATAGGGAATTTTATATTGTTACTTTACAGCTAGAAAGCAGGCTGTGTTGTGGTGCAGATGGTTTAGCTGCCACTTGGGACACCCACATCCCTCATCAGAGTGCCTGGTTCAAGTCCCGACTCCACCACTTTCCATCCAACTTTTTGTTGATGCGCACCCTGGGAGGCAGTGGATAGCTCAAGTGCGTGGGCCACTGCCAACCATGTGGGAGAGACTCAGAGGGAGTTCTGGGTTCCTGTCTATAGCCTGGCCCCTTCCTGACTATTGAGGGTATTTAGGGAGTAGAGTTAACCAGTGGATGGATGATCTATCTCCCTCTCTCTTTTTTTTTCTTTCTCTTCCCTTTGCCTTTCAAATAAATAAGAAAAATTTAAAATATATATATAATGTACCTCTATTGCTTCAATAACTTAAATGAATAATTCATCTTTTTGAAGAAAAAAAATTGAAAATATGGAAATGGGCACTTCCTACTTTGGCAAGGAGAAGAGAAAATTCACCTCCAAAACCCTGGAACTTGCTGAAGACCTTAGAGAAGCTAAGAGCCAGAGTGCAGGGAAGGCAGTAGATCCCCAGTGGTTATGACCCAAGTGGAACTGCTTTGCGATGGACACGGAAGCATGACAGATGCGGAGGTCCAGGCATCTGACAGCCTTGTGGAGTGACAGGTGCTCAGGAAGTGGCTTACACAGCACCCAGCTGCTGCTGGGCAGTCCCCCTCTCCCCACTCCCAGCAGGGCAGGGGCTGGGAGGTGTGCACTTGTCCAGGAAATGGAAACGCCTCAGCGGATCTCGCTTTCCCAATGCCCCTCTGAGGCCCAGCATGACTTCTGGTAGCCAGGAAGCTGAAAAATTCTTCTCCGGGAAGAGAAGATGGGATCTGGGGAATGGGGAGAAAGCACAGAGACTTGTGAAGGAGTGAAGGATCTCGTGCCCAGGCGGCCGGGGTGGGGGGCATTGATTGTTAACTGCATGGGAATTTCTTTCTTGAGGAGCAGCAGAGAGAGAGAGAGAGAGAGTTTCTGCTCTTGTGAAATTTCACTTCTCCCCCTGGATGTGTGTTTTTTTTTATTAGATGGTCCCAGCGTGACTGCATCCCTAGGCCCACCAAGCACCTGTGGGGGCCTCACTGCTCTGCCGAGGGGCCCCCGCCTGGGAGGCCCCAGCCTGGGGGGCTTACCCCTCGGAGACAGTGGAAGTGAAGAGGACAGGTGCACCTGGCTGTTGGCCCCGCCTCCAGCCCCCTGAGCCCTGTACAGCCGTGATCTGCTTGAGTCACCTGTGCTCTCCGGGCTGTTTTTCACACGAGTGGTTTTCATCACTGTCGCTCTTACGGGAGGGAAGAGGACTTGGGCATTGTTTGGTGTTCAGTCATCTGTGTGGGTGACCCGGTTTTGGCTCACGTCTGCGGATCTGTGCGAAGGACAGTTATGTAGTAAACAGTTCCACGGCCTGGCTGTTCTTGTGGCTCTGAAAACCCGAGTGACTTTAATTAAACTTTGACTTGGTGACTGTGCAGGTAGGGCTAGACTTCGTGGTTCTTTCCTTCCTTTGAATCCATGGTTAACCTGATCGAGTTTTCAGAGAACAGACAGAAGTACTGAAATAAGAACTAAAAAATAGGCTTTAGCTTATGGAAGATGAATATCAGAAACCTACACTTGGGCCCGGCGCTGTGGCGTGCCTGTAACACTGTCATCCCATATGGGCACCGATTCAAGTCCCAGCTGCTCCACTTCCAATCCAGCTCCTTGCTAATGTGCCTAGGAAAGCAGTAGAAGATGGCCCAAGTGCTTGGGTCCGGCCACTCTCGTGGGAGACCTGTATGAAGCTCCTGGCCCCTGGCTTCAGCCTGTTCCAGCCCTGATTGATCATTGTGGCCATCTGGGGAGTGAACCAGCAGATTAAAGATTGATTCTCCCCCTCCCCCTCTCCCCTCCCCCTCCCACTCTGCCTTTCATATATATATAAAAATAAATCTTGAAAAAGGAAACCTACACTTAACTGCTACCATGGAATTATTTCTAGGCTCTTCCTTGCCTTGTTGGTGCTAAGAGTTCCTTATTTATCATTTCTTGTACCAGGCGTGATGCTAAGTGGAGGGGAGGAGCTGAGTGGACACACGCGTGTGGGGTGGTGGGCGTCTTCCCTCAGTGCCTGGCGACCTTTCCGTGTGTTGCAGGTATTTGAGATGGACATCGCGAAGCAGTTACAAGCTTATGAAGTCGAGTACCACGTGCTTCAAGAAGAGCTCATCGATTCCTCCCCGCTCAGTGACAACCAAAGAATGGATAAATTAGAGAAAACCAACAACAGCTTACGCAAACAGAACCTTGACCTCCTTGAACAATTGCAGGTAGAGCATATTTATAAAGCAGCTTCCTGAACCGCAAGTATCTGGTAGTTCATTAACTCACCAAAGGCACCAGCAGCCGGCGTGTTCCCATGCCCGGAGGACCTTTCTCACCCTGAGCTGTTCGGAGTTGAGATCAAAGGGATCCCAGGAGAATTGGTCCTTTTTATTACAGAGCAGGTTTTGATTTGCTCAGGCCGGGCGGTCCTGGAGCTTTCTGCACTTACCCTTTTAGGAGACGGGCCCAGAGAAGAGTCTGGGTCCGCGCTGCGGTGGCCCTGTTAGCTGAATGCTGGCAACTGTGCTCTGAGGATGGGTGAGACCATCAAGCTCTTTAGCTGCCGTGGGCAAAACCAGCCAGGTCCAGGAAGGGATGCATCGCAGTCATCTACCTAACAAAACAAAGCTTGTGATTTATCACCGATTAACGAAGGGCAGAATTCTCCCCTCTGGAAGCTTCCACCTTAGCATGGACAAGTGTGGGTGAGAACATAGAGAAGACAGGCTGATGGAGACCATGCACCCCGGGGTGAGCTGGAGCGAGCTCCATGGTGCAGTCCCCAGACCCAGATCCTACCAGATCCAGTGCAGGCCACACCCACATCGTCACCCGGGAGACTGCTACCCTGAGGACAAGAGGCACCTTGCAGTGCGGCTCTTGCGTCAGTCAAATGCTGTGAAGTAACCATACATCCTACTTCCGCGCTGTCACAGGCGGGTGGCCACGCTGCCAGTGGTGAGGAGTTATATGGAGAGTGTGGGGTTGCTGTGAGGAAAGATTCATCCTCATGGACTCTTTTTTTTTCCCCAAAAAAATAGATGTTTTACCATGTTCCTGGGCTGTCCTTCAAATAAGCACCCCAGCCCGGTCTAAGCTTCCAATTTCTTTCCAGGAGAAGTTGCCATCTTGTACACGCAGGTTGGCGGTGATGTGGGAAACCAGCCCTTGTCTGAGTGCATTCCTCCCGGGGGCCTCCGCTAGACACCTGCTTTGCCTCCCCAGTGCCAACTGTGCCAGTCATGTTCTGAAACCCAACTTCTTTTCCCCCTAACATTCTTTTCTCCCTGGGGTCTCGGCTTAGACCCCAGGGGACGAGAGCCTTGTCTGGCCTGCGAGGGGACGCGGTCTCAGGCGGTCATCTTAAATGGAGTTGGTGCCAACCGTGAGTTCCCGAATACTCATTCCTATCATATGACAGAAACACTCCCCGCAAACCTGTTTGCATTCGAAGCAGTTGGCTTATTAAGGCAGACAGTATACAATTCGAGGCTCGTTTTATTGGGCTTTGTGTGGGTTTTCGGCAGTGAGGGTGGAAAGCTAATTTATGCGGCTCCTGTGAGCCCCTACCACTTCCGGGAGGCAGGGAGTTGTGGCAGACCGCTCAGCCACCTACACTCCTCAGGAGAGACGTCGGGCAACAATTGGTAAGAGACATCTCTGGGCCGGCGCCGCGGCTCAATAGGCTAATCCTCCGCCTGCGGCGCTGGCACACCGGGTTCTAGTCCCGGTCGGGGCACCGGATTCTGTCCTGGTTGCCCCTCTTCCAGGCCAGCTCTCTGCTGTGGCCCAGGAAGGCAGTGGAGGATGGCCCAAGTGCTTGGGCCCTGCACCCGCATGGGAGACCAGGAGAAGCACCTGGCTCCTGGCTTCGGATCAGCGCGGTGCGCTGGCCACAGCGCGCCGGCCGCAGCGGCCATGGGGGGGGCGGTGAACCAACGGCAAAGGGAGACCTTTTGTTGTCTCTCTCTCTCTCACTGTCCACTCTGCCTGTCAAAAAAAAAAAAAAGAGAGAGAGAGAGAGAGAGACATCTCTGCACCATGTGGGCGTGCACGTCTAGGGACGTCACTGAGGGCTGCCACAGTCACCAATAGTTACCGAGTCCACTGTGCCAGTGCTGGGGCCACCGAGATGAGTGATTTGGACTGGGCGCGTGGTGTGTGAACACGTGGCTGTCTGGGTAAGACTTTCCCATCGTCCTCTATGAGAATGTGCATCTCACCTGTGAGAATCGTGCTGCCTTTTTGCTTAACCTTTCACAGACGGTCCATTCAAGGAAAGGTGTAGATACAGTATCGATTTTTGTGCATAAATCTTTTTTACCTAAGTATCAAAATAAACCTGTTTTCTGGTGTTGTCCTGTTCGTGTACCTGTTAGATATGCCAAAGTCCCATTTGTTTTCTTGTTAAACACAAGAATTTTATAAAAATTTTAAGGTTTATTTTATTTATTTGAAAGAGTTACAGAAAGGGAGGGAGGGAGAGAGAGAGAGAGAGAGAGAATATCCATCCACTGTTTCACTCCTCAAATGTCTGCAACGTCTAGGAGCCAAAAGCTTCTTCCAGGTCTGCCACCTGGGCTGAGGGGCCCTCGGACATCTGCTCCTTTTCCAGGCACATTAGCAGAGAGCTGGATCAGAAGTGGAGCAGCCAGGACTCAAACAAGCGCTGTGCCTCTATGGGATGCTGGCATTGCAGGGGCAGCCTAATGCATTATGCTACAATGTCAACCCCAATTTTTCTAAAATTTATGGTAATACTCATCGCTTTAAAAAGACGTATTTATTTGGGGTTGACATTGTGATACAGCGGGTCAAGCTGCTTGCATTGCCGCTGTCCCATCTGGGCACTGGCTGCTCCACTTCTGATCCAGCTCCCTGCTAATGTGCCTTGGAGAGCAGTGTACTCGGACCCCTGCATCCACATGGGAGACCCAGATGGAGTTTCATGCTCCTGCCTTTGGCTTGGCCCAGCCCCTTTGGGGAGTGAACCAACGAATGGAAGATTCTCTGTCTCTGTGTGTCCTCTCTCTCTGTCACTCTTTCAAATAAAACCTTAAAAAAATTGTTTATTTGGAAGAGTGACAGATAGAGACCTTCCATTTTCTGGTTCACTCTCCCAGTGCCTGAGGTGAAGCCATGCTGGAGCCAGGAGCTCCATGTGGCTCTCCTACATGAGTAGCAGGAACTCAAGTACTTGGGCCATCACTGATGCTTCCCAGGCCCATTAGCCGGGAACTGGATGGGAAGTGGAGCAGCCGGGACTCAAGCTGGCTCTGATAGGGGTTGTGGGCTTCCTGAGCAGAGGTTTAACCTGCCGTGCCTCAATACCCAACCCCAAGGATTTTGTTTTAGAAGCTGGAGACCAAACTCTAATCTGCTTTGTCCAGCATTGTATGAGATAATTGCCATGCCAGATGGTGCCATGTTCCCTGGCCTAGTGCTGTCTTTTACCATAGGACAAGAGAATTTCAAGCTAGCAAGCCATTTTGACCTGGGCCATCACGCCGTTGTGACTGTCAGTCTGAAATCAATTCATACACGTGGATAGACTTGTTTATCACAACCAGCCAGGCCGTGCTGACACAGAAAGCTCCAGGGCTCAGTGCCAGCGCTGTGGCACAGCAGCTAAAGCTGCCACCTGCAGTGCTGGCATCCC